GTGGGCTGGCAGACAGGGCTCATGCAACAGTGAGTGGGCAGGAGGCGGCACGGAAACCCAGCCCCGTTGCCCATGTCAGAGCGGGAGGGCTAGAGGGCCATGCAGGCCACGGCGGGTCCACACGGAAGTATCTGCAGTGTACACACAGGAGGGCGGTAGGGGGGCTTCCTCTGCCCCAGGCTGCATCCGGGAGAGAGGGGGGAGGTCCAGATGGCACTGCCACGCCAGCCACACCCCCGCGTGGCAGGGCTCCGGCTACTCCTTGGCGCGGCCGATGATGGTGAGGATGAACAGGAAGATGTTGATGATGTCCGTGTACAGGTTGAGCGCCGCAAACACGTACTCCTCCGGGCTCAGCGACAGCTGCTTGTTCCCCAGCAGCAGCTGGGTGTCCACTGCCAGGAACTGAGGTGACAGCATGCCGGGCTAAGGGACCTGCCCGCCCCCCTGCCCGGTGCCCGCCCCGGTGCCCGCCCCACGGCCCTCACTCACGCAGGTGAAGAGCAGCGCGCCCAGCGAGGCGTACACGATCTCCAGGATGCGGTTGCGGATGAAGATGCAGAGGATGGCGAAGAGGATCAGCACCACCATGCTCACCAGCAGCACGCCCATGCACGACGTGAAGTCGTAGCGGGTCTGTGGGGACAGCGGACACAGGCCCTGGTGCCCCGGCCAGGCCCCCGGCCGGCAGCCACCCCCCGCCCAGCCCGGGGCCCTCCCAGGCACGGAGGAGACCCCGCCAGGACCCCCACCTGCAAGGAGAAGATGACCACTGTGAAGCAGACGATGGTGGTGATGCCCACAGCCATGATGACCGCCTCGGTGTTGTAGAAGCTGGCGATCACGCCCACCATGTAGGACAGGCTGATGGTCAGGATTGACTGCGGGCAGACGGGGCCTTGAGGGTGAGGGCTGCTCCAGCCACAGCCCTCCCCCCCCCCAGTGCCAACCGAGTGTGTGTAGCGGGGCGGGAGGCAGGGCCCTGGCGGCTGGGGGCTCGGGGTCTGGGGTTACCAGTGCAATGAGGTTCCAGGGGTGCTTTCGGCGGAATTCCCCGCAGCAGCTGAGGGCGATGAGGGAGATGAAGAAGACGGCGTAGGAGACATAGTAGGTCCAGACGTTCTCCCGGACGAAGCTCTTCACTTCCTTGACGAACGTGAACACGGCCACGGTGGACAGCGTCAGGGACAGCTGCAGGGTCAGCACGAGGAACACCTGGGGGAGGAGCCGTCAGAGCCCGCCGAGCGCGGCCGCCCCCCCCCCCCCAGCCCGGGGGCGAGGCCCACCTTCCGGATGAAAGCCTGGCGGATGCTCTTGTCATCCCAGTTGGTGGCAGGGAAGTCCTGGTTGCCATAGTAGGACGGGGGTCCATCCTCGTGATAGGTCCCATGCGGAGGGGCTGGGGAGCAGGGGGCCGGGTCAGGGCCACCTGTGGGTCCCTGGAGCCCCTGCCCTCCCCGAACCCCTGCCCGCTACTCACAGCCAGGGTCCTGGATGGGAAAGGCCTGTGGCTGTCCATAGGGGTTGGGTGGAAAGGGGCTCTGTGGATATGGCCCCTGAGGGTAGCCCCCTTGGGGGTAGGGGCCCTGGGGATATCCGCCTTGGGGGTAGGGACCTTGGGGGTAACCGACTTGGGGGTAGGGGGCCTGAGGGTAACCCCCTTGGGGGTAGGAACCGGGGGCCTGGGGATACCCTGGCTGGGCATAGGGGGAAGGCTGGAACTGGGCTTGTGGGTAAGGGGCCCCGGGGTAAGGAACCACGGGGGCCTGGTCCACCCCGGGGTATCCAGGGTTTGGGGGAGGATAGTTGTCCCCGGACACCAAGAAACTCTTCTCGTGGGGCATGGCCTCAGGTTCTGCGGCTCCCCCTAGAGGAGGGAGAGAGAACAGTCAGCCTGGGGCGACTTGTCCCCCGCAGCCCGGGGCGGCCCCACCTGCTGCCGGGAACGGAGGAAGGGGGAGGGCCCGCGACCTTTGCCTCCGGGCAGTCCCGGGCCCCCACGCAGAGGGGCCCTTGGGTCCGGGAGGGTCGATGGGTGGTGGGGCGAGGGCTTCCCGCCTGGAGGCCGCGCTAGACCCGCTCCCAAGGTGAAGGGGAGGCTGTCGGCCCGGGGTTTGGCTCCGGTTTTCTTAGAAGCAACTGGAAGGGCCTCCCAAAGCTGAGCCGGCGAGGGTGCGGTCGGGCGGGCGCTGTGGGGTGTGTCCAGACCGCCCCCTCCGCATCCCTGCCCTTAAGCAGCTTTCGGCCGGAGCCGAGCCGAGCCGAGCCGGCGGCTATTTCCATCCCAGGAAATCCCGGGCCGTCTGCGGGCGGGCTGACCCTCCGAGCGGCCCCGGCGGGGGCAGCGGCCTGGCTGGTGCGGGCGCCTGCAGCGGGGTGCGCCGGCGGCGGCGGGGTGCGGGGGTGTGTGGGGGATGGAAGCCGGCGGAGGCCGTGCGGGAACAAAGCGGGCGGGGGCGGGGGCGGGGGGCGAGCGGGAGCCGCGGCGCCGGGAACCTGCTCCCACGGCGGGGGCCCTGCCTGCCAGGGCGGGGGTCGCTCAGGCCGCGGGTCTCGCCGCCGCCGCCGCAGTTCGTCGGCCCCCCCCCCCCGCTCCAGGCCGCGGGCCTCCGACCCCCGTCACCACCCCGGTCCCAAACGGGTCGCGAGCCCCGGCCAGACCGACCGACCGACCGGCGGACCCACGGGGGCGCCGTTGGCTGCGCAGGGTCCGCGCGGGGCGGGGGCGGCCGGCGGCGGCTCGGCGAGCGGCCTCGGCGCGGGGCCGGGCCGGGGACTCACCGCTCGGCGGCCTCAGGCAGGTCGGTGCGTATGGTGGGCGGTGCGCGGCCGCGCGGTCGATGGCCGCTGCGCCCGAACCTGTCCCCGCACCCGCTCCGCAGCCGCTCGGCGGGGCCTGCGCCTGCGGCTCGGAAGACGCTGCGGGCCTTGTGACGGAGGGGGCGGGGCCTGGCGGCAGGGGCGGGGCCTGGGGCGGGGCGGGGCCTGGGGCGGGGCGGGGCCTCTCGGGGCGGACTGGGCCCGCTGCGGGCTCCTTCCCTGTCTGCCCGAGAGGTGGGCCTGGCCGTGGGGGTTGAAGACCTCTGACCTCTGACCTCTGCAGGCTGGCGTTCGCCTGGCCACCTTGGTTCAGGGGTTGAGACATGTATTCCCAAAGCACTCGCCATCCTTTCTTGGCCTTAACACACCACTTGTCCTTTAAAAAAAAAAAAAAAAAAAAAAAAAAATATATATATATATATATATATATATATATATATATATATATATAATGATTTTTTTAATTGTATCTACTTTTTACAAAGAGGAAGGAAGGGGGATAGAGTTAGAAACATCCATCAGCTGCCTCCTGCACGCCCTGCACTGGGGATGTGCCCCCAACCAAGGTACATGCCCTTGACCAGAATCAAACCTGGACCCTTGAGTCCACAGACTGACGCTCTATCCACTGAGCCACACCGGTTAGGGCCACCACCTGCCCTTTTTACCCAAGCCTCTCCCAAACCCAGAGGCCTAAGTACTCAACTGGTCCATCGCCTGCCCTGGTGTTTGAGAGCAAATCAGCCCAGTCCCTACAGTAGACCTTGACCCTCACGGTCCCCCTCACTGTCCTCCTCACACCTCACCACGCAGGCTGCAGTCCTTCCACCTGTTTCGCCGCTTAGCGGCTGAGGCTTCATTTCTTCCCTCAGCTCCAGCGGCCGTCCCATCCGGCCGTCCTGAGGGGGCGCTGACGGCCACAGCCAAGGACACCCTGCTGCAGTGCCTCTGCCCGGGGCCTGGCGCCTTGACAGTTCCGGCTGTGGCGTGGTGAGCCTGTCCCAGGCCCCGCCGTGGTGTGGGGAGCTCTGTCTGTCCTGGGCCCCTGAGGTGCTGGTCCTATGGTTAACGAAGGGCCTGGCAAGGGGGAGCCCCAGCGTGCACATGCTCGTGGTGTAAACACCCCATCATGACTGGTTTCAAGCTACCACTGGCCATGGCAAGAGCTGCCCGGTGCCCGCAGCAGCACGCCGGCTGAGCTGCACGGGTGCCAGGGGGTGTGCGCGCAGCGAGGAGAGGAGATACAGAGCAGGCAGGGATGCGTTGCCGCTTCGCGGAGCTAAACGCTCATACAGTTTGGGAGACCATCGAAGACGACGAAGACGAGGTTGAGGTCAGGGCCTTGGAAGTGGCCTGTAGAAGGTCCTTCAAGACTTTCAGCTTCGAGTTAAATCTGCTCCTGAGAGCAGGGTACGGGGCTGGGGGGCCGGGGGCTCTGAGAAAGGCCAGTGCAGGGACGGAGGTGGGATCGGCCTGCTGTCCCGGAGGACCAGGCTGGGGCTGGCTGAGCGTGGGGAGTTTAGGGGGGGGGCAGACCCCCCAAAGGATCTTCACTGGGAGTGACTGGCTTTTCTCATGTTCCAAGCTGTAGCCCCTGATGGTGCCAGGTGACCAGGCTCACTCTGCCTGCTCCCTGGAGGGACAGGGAGGCATCTGTGAGGGCAGAAGGAGGCTCGTCAGAAGATTGCTGTAGAGACAGATCCAGGTGAGAGACGGCGGAGGCTCGGGCCAGGGCAGGGGCGGCCCAGAGGCCGGTGTGCTGCTGGCCTGCAGGGTGTCGGGTCCTCAGTCCCTGGGAGGAGCAGCAACCAGGGTGGAGGCTGATGGGTAAAGGGGAGGTGGGAGGTAGCGCACAGCCCTGAGCACACCTCTCTGAGGGGCTGGAAGCAAATGGGCGTGGCGGAGGGGGCGGGGGTCGCAGGGCGCTGTTGCGAGAGGGAGTTGGATTCTCAAGGGGAAGCCTGGGTGTGCACACCCCGAGGGCCCTGTCTGCGCCCCCACTTCCCTCTCTGTGACGAGGATTGGCTGCTGGCAAGGCACGGGGCCTGCCCCCTCGGGGCCAGTCCTGGTGACAACCATGACGAGGGAAGGTGGGAAGGCTGTGCAGGCGCACCTACCAAGGAGGGAGGCAGAGGAGGGCATCGGGAGGCAGAGGCAGGACGTGCGGGAAAGCACCTGCAGGTTAGGGGTGGACTGGACCTGCTGCTCGCCCTCCACATGCGTTTCCGGTGAGGCCCTGCCACCTGCCCGCTGTGAAGGGTGAGGGGCAGGTTTGGGGAGGCTGCGGAGCACTGAAAGCCAGCCTGAGCTAGGGGCATGCCTGGGGACCCCCCACCCCCAGCTGCGGGGGAGGGGAACACAGGGGCTGAGGTCCCTGAGTCAGGGACAGTGACTGGAGCCCTCTGGTGGACTTAGTAAGAAGGGTGATTGGCCTTTAAAGGTTTGCAGAGAGAGGCTAATGGGAGTGGAGGACAGAGGGCTCCCGCCCCCACCATGCCGTCAGCAGGCCGGGTGGGACCTCGGGGCTGGAGGGCTGGGCTGAGTGGGCGCCCAGCCAACAGGTGCAGGCAGGGAGAAGGTTCTGCCTGAGGACCTGCCTGCAGGAGGCAGCCGCCGGCCCCAGCTGCAGGCCCCTCCCTTCCTCTGCCCTCAGACAGTTTCACTTTTGTTTCCTGGACCAGGGCTTCTGCCGGCTCAGCAGGTTTGGGGCGGCCCCAGCAGCCGGCAGTGTAGGTGAGGGTCTGGGTCGCCCAGGAAGGGGGTGCCAGAGGAGGCTGCGGGGGAGGGGAGCTGGTGGGGGCTGGACGGGGCGGCTGCCCACCCGCTGGCCCCGCCCAGGGCTCCGATGGCAGAGGAAGAGGCGGCGGGGGCGGCCCTGGAGCTCGGCGGGCTGCCCCCCGACATCCCGGACGAGCTGCTCACCCTCTACTTCGAGAACCAGCGCCGCTCTGGGGGGGGCCCCGTGCTGAGCTGGCAGAGGCTCGGCCGCGGGGGCGTGCTCACTTTCCAGGAGGCCTCAGGTGAGGGGCTGACGGGGAGGCTGGCCGGGCACGGCAGGTGGGCCGCCCGCCCTGACGCCCCGCCTGCCCCTGTCCTGCCCTGCCCACAGACGCCGCCCGGGTGCTGGCCCAGAAGGAGCACGTGCTGCAGGGCGCCCGGCTGAGCCTGCGGCCGGCCCCACCCCCCGCGCCCTCCCGCCTGCTGCTCCAAGGCCTGCCCCCGGGGACCACCCCCCAGCGCCTGGAGCAGCACGTCCAGGCCCTGATGCGTGCCACGGGGCAGCCGGAGCAGCCCTGCCGTGCCCTGGCCAGCCCCCGCCCAGACCGGGCCCTGGTCCAGCTGCCCCAGCCCCTCTCGGAGGCAGGTGAGAGATGGGACCAGACGGGACGGGGCCGGCGTGCGCGCAGAGGGCATGCGCTGAGCCAACGTGCACCTTCCCCGCAGAAGTCCGGGAGCTGGAGAAGCAGGCCCGGGCCCTGGACCTGGATGGGGCCACGGTCTCCCTGGCGGGGGTGCCCCAGGCCCGGGCGGTGCGCGTGGTGGGGGGCACGGCCCCTGCGGACCCGCTGCTGCTGCAGCTGTACCTGGAGAACGAGCGCCGGAGCGGAGGGGGCGCCCTGGCGGGCCTGCGCAGCCTGCCGGGGCCCCTGGGCGCCGTGGTCTCCTTCCAGCAGTGGCAGGGTGAGTGGGGCGGGGCACGCCCCCCACCGCTCTCACCCCGCAGGCCGCTCACGGGCCTCCCGGCCTCTCCCTTCCCTCCAGTGGCCGAGCGGGTGCTGCAGCAGGACCACCGGCTGCGGGGCTTGGAGCTGAGCCTGGTCCCCCACTACGACGTCCTGGAGCCCGAGGACCTCGCGGCGGACACCGGAGGAGGGGACCGCTCCGCCACGCTGGGGCCTGGGGCCGCTGAGCAGGCTCTTCTGGAGGCTGGAGAGCCAGCGAGGACCCTGCAGGGTGTGGGGACCGTGACCTCGGCCTCTGAGGAGGCGCCAGGCCCATCAGGAGTCCCTGGAAGGACAGAGCCCACCGGGTCTGTGGGGCCCGTGGGGGCTTGGGACCAGGAGGGGCTAGAGAGCCTGGGGCCCCCAGGGCCTTCAGGGCAGGCAGAGCCGGTCAGCTCCAGCCCTGCGGAGTCCCCGGGCCCCGTGGGCTCAGTGGAGACCGCCCTGGGGCCTGCAGAGCAGGTGGGATCCGGGAGCCTGGAGCCTGGGGGGTCCCCGGAGCCGGCGGGGCTGGTGGAGACGGTGCTGTCGATGGAGCCGGGCGCCATGCGCTTCATGCAGCTGTATCACCAGGACCTCCTCGCTGGCTTGGGCGACGTCGCCCTCTTCCCCCTTGAGGAGGCAGATGTGACCGGCTTTCGAGTGAGTGCCCTTTGCTGAGTCCTCCCCGGTGGCCCCTCTCCCCTGGGAGCTCTGGGGACCTTTCTGGTGCCCTAAACCGGGGAGCTGCCCCTCACTCACCCCTCGTCCGCAGCTCTGCGGAGCCCGGGCCCCGTGCCAGGCCGCGGAGGAGTTCCTGCAGAGCCTGCTGGGCAGCATCGGCTCCCACCTGCTGAGCCTGAGGCACCCGGGCAGCGCGAGGTTCCTGCTGGGCCCCGAGGGGCAGCACCTGCTCCGGGAGCTGGAGGCTCGGTTCCAGTGCGTCTTTGGGACGGAGCGCCTGGCTGGGGACGACCTGGACACAGACCCCACAGAGGTGGAGTCCCTGCCCCTTCCCGCCCCTTCCTCACACCTCCGCCCGGCACCGCCTCCCCCTGCTCAGAGGCCGGGGAGGGGTGTGAGCCGGGGACTCTACTGTTCTCTCCTGACAGGTGGACCCCACTGAGGCCCTGCAGGCCCCCCCTGGCCAGTCCCAGGCTCCGTGGCCCCCAGACAGCGAAGACGGGGACCTCGAGAGCCTGAGCCTCGGTAGGCCCTCTGGGACCCCGCACAGCCTGTGACCCTTTCTTGACCTCACCCTCTGCCTTGCTTTGCACGCCCCCCTCTCTTGTGATCCCGTATCCCTCAAGCACCTCATTTTCACCTGTTCCCCGACTCCTCCTATCCTTCAGCCTCACCTTGGCTGGTCTCAACCCCTCACCCTTGCCTCTCCCTGTCCCCAGAGGCGGTCCGAGAGCTGCTGGCCACTCTGGAGGGCCTGGACGGGGAGGACAGGCCACCCCTGGAGCTGGGGGAGGAGGAACCGGAGGAGCCGCCAGAGGAGGAGCCTGCACCCAGCGCCCGGGAGGAGCCCCAGGCCCCCGCGGGGCTGGAGGAGGCGGCCGCGCTGCAGCTGGCTCTCCACCGGTCCCTGGAGCCGCAGGGCCGCGCGGCGGAGCAGGAGGAGGCGGCCGCGCTGCAGCAGGCGCTGGCCCTCTCCCTGCTGGAGCCGGCCCCCCTGCAGGCCGAGGAGGAGCTCCTGGGCGGGGGCCCTGCTGGCCGGGCCCAGCTGGTGGTGCATGCGGACTTTGAGCAGGACATGGAGGAGCTGGACCGGGCCCTCGGGGCCGCCCTGGAGGGGCACCTCCGGGAGGAGACGGTGGGGCTCCGGGGCCCCACGCTGCCCGCGGAGCTGCGTGCCCGGCTGGAGCAGCGCCACGGCGTGAGCGTCGCCCTTCACGAGGACCGCGCCCTCCTGCGCGGCTTTGGGGCCCAGCCCGCCCGTGCAGCCCGCCACTTACGGGCGCTCCTGGCCGGCCCCTGGGGTCAGAGTCCGCCCGACCTTTCGGAGGCGTCCAGCCCCGCCGGTGAGCCTGCACCTGGGACAGGGGAGGGCGGCAGGGCCGGCTCTCCGAACCCACCAGACCTTCTCTCTCCCCACGTGGCAGGGCCGCGGCGGAGCCCGGAGGGGCCCCTGGGCAGGCTGGAGGGTCTGGCCGAGAACAGCCCCGAGTTCCGGGCGGTGGTGCAGGCCTTCTACGACACCCTGGACTCTGCCCACAGCCGGGTCCGCGTCGTCCGGGTGAGTGCAGGCTCCGCCTCGCCAGCCTCGGCCTCCTGGGCTCTCCGCAGAGCCTGTGGGCTGTCATTTACAAAAAAATAATATACAGGTTTTTATTGATTTTTAGAGAGAAAGGGAAAGGGCTAGAGAGATAAAACACACCAATGATGAGAGAAAAATCACTGATGGGCTGCCTCCTGCACATACCCCACTGGGGATCAAGCCCGCAACCCAGGCCTGTGCCCTTGGCCGGAATCGAACCCAGGACCCTTCAGTCCCCAGGCGGATGCTCTATACACTGAGCCGCACCAGCTAGGGCTGGGCTGTCATTTCTGCCGGTCAAGGTCCGCTGGCCAGGAGCGGCCGGGCTGGGGCAGGCTGGGAGCTGCTGGGGGAGGGAAGAGCACCAGGCTCCCAGCACCATTCCCCACCCGGAGGCCTGGGTTGGGGGAGACAAGGGCGTAGAGGTGGTGGGAGGTGGTGGGGGACAGTGGGGAGCCGTGACCCAGGCCCTGGCAGGCTGGAGCAGGCCCCTGCATTACCAGCTGCACCAGCGGCGCCATCTTGTGGCGCTTGTAAGGATGACTCACTCCACAGAGCAGGGGGTGGTGCTGTTCTGGGTCTCTTCTGCCTCTCACAGTGGCTCCAGCAAGAAGAGGGCTGGCCAGCCCTGGCTGGTGTGGCTCCATGGACAGAGCATTGGCCTGCAGACCAAAGGGTCCCGGGGTCGACCGCGGTCAAGGGCACATATCTTGATTGCAGGATCCTCCTCAGCCTGGGCCCTGGTTGGGGCTGGTGCAGGAAGCAATCAACCGATGTGTTTCTCTCCCATCGATATTTCTCTGTGTCTCTCCCTCTCTCTCCCATTCTCCCTAACGATCGATGAAGAAATACCCTCCGGTGAGGAGGGGTGAGGAGAAACCAAACAAAGAAAGAAGATGAGGGCTGGCTGCAGGGCCACCCCCCTCCTGGCATGTTACTTGCTAATTGAGGCATCTCTGAGCGTAGCTGCCCTTCACAAAAGGCTGGGACTCCCTTGGGAGCCATAGTGAAACCCCAGGGGTGCAGGGAGGAGAGGCTGAGGAGGGGCTGGGCAGGGGTGGGTGTTGCAGGGGGGCGAGGCCCAGGACAGCTGCAGGGCCAGAAGGAAGGACAGGAGGAGGCTCTGCCGGGCTGGTCAGCTGGCAGGAGGGTGAAGGCAGGGCTGGAGCCGGAGCTGGGCTGGGAGGACAGGATCCAGACCCAGGAGGAGCTGGTGAAGGGAGGCAGGCAGGGGAGGAGTCGCTGCGGCGGAGAGCAGGGCTGCGGGCTCACGGGCAGGCTCACGGAGAACGAGAAGGGAGAGAGCGTGGGAGCTGGCCCATGCGCCAGTGATGCCAGCCAGGTGCTCTCCACTCCTGACGCACAAAGTGTGGGTGGGCCCAGCTCCTCGGCGACCCGGAGCTGGTCAGAGCGGCAGGGCCTCTGGCCTTGCCCACCCCCGCCCTGCCAGCTGCCACCACCCGCTAACCCCCGGACCAGCTCCACTGCCTGCATCTGCACCTGGCAGCTGTCCCTCTGGGCGTCGGGAGGGGAGGGACACCCTGCAGCCGCATGCCGGCTCCCTGTGCGCGTGGGTCTCCCGCGCACCACCCGTGACTCTGGAGGATAACCCTGAGACCCTCCCCCGCCCCGCCCCGCCCCCTATAGTTAGGGCTTGTGTTTTATTTATTTAAATATATTTTTTATTTATTTTGTACAAACAGGAAGGGAGAGGGATAGAGAGTTAGAAACATAGATGAGAGAGAAACATCAATCAGCTGCCTCCTGCACAACCCCCGTTGGGGATGTGCCCACAACCAAGGTATGTGCCCCAACCAGAATCGAACCCAGGACCCTTCAGTCTGCAGACTGACGCTCTATCCACTGAGCCAAACCAGTTTCGGCTGTGTTTTTTGTTGTTGTTGTTGTTGTTGTTTTTTAAACACTTCTGTTCACTTATATGAGCACAGCTGGTTCTTGCCTATGTTAACGGGCCCTGATTTTTGTCCTCACCAATAACAGCTTGGCTGCATGTAGTGTTCAGGATCAGAATATGTCTTCTTTCCAGGAATCTTGGGAAAACATTGCTCTTTTTCTTTAAAAATATTTGTTCTTGAAGAACTAAAACAAGAAAATCTCTCTTTGGTTTCTGAGCACCCAGTATCGGCGGGGAGGGCCCTGTGTGAGGATGGAAGACGTTTCCATCCGTGCATTGACGGTGGTGTGGGTGTGGGCCTCACTAGTCTCTCGCTTCTGGCAGGATGTGTCCTCCCCACTGTCCCCGTCATCTCCGGGGTCCTTCTCACCCAGAGACGCCACCGTCGGCTGGGGGACACTGCCTTGCGTGTGCACTGCCTGCGCTCGCTCCCGTCACCGCTGCCCTCCTCCTTCCCCTTCGCCCAGGCCACAGCCGTCTCCACAGGCTCCGCTCTGTTCTCTGGCTCTGCAAACCGGTTTCGGCCCTTAAATGATTTAAAAAATATATATATTTTAATTGATTTCAGAGAGGAAGAGAGAGGGAGAAGATAGAAATGTCAATGATGAGACAAAACAGGTTTGGCTCCATGGATAGAGCACTGGCCTTCGAACTGAAGGGTCCCGGGTTCGATTCCGGTCAAGGGCATGTACCTTGGTTGTGGGCACATCCCCGGTGGGGGTTGTGCAGGAGGCAGCTGGTCGATGTTTCTCTCTCATCGATGTTTCTAGCTCTCTATCCCTCTCCCTTGCTCTCTGTAAAAAATAAATAAAATAAAAAAAGAAATGTCAATGATGAGAGAAATCATTGATTGGCTGCCTCCTGCACGCCCCCTATCGGGGATGTGCCTGCAACCAAGGTACATGCCCTTGACGGGAATCAAACCTGGGGCCCTTCGTTCCGCAGGCTGATGCCCTATCCATTAAGACACACGGGTTAGGGCTATAAAAATACATGTTTTTATTGACTCCAGTGAGGAAAGGAGAGGGAGAGACACAAACGTCCATGATGAGAGAGACTCACGGACCCACTGCCTCCCGCACGCCCCCCACTGGGGACGGAGCCCACACCCTGGGCCTGTGCTCTGATCCGGAGTCAAACCAGGACCTCCTGGCTCACAGTGGGCGCTCCTCTACCGAGCCACGCCGGGCCGGCCCACACAGGGCTCTCCGTTTCCGCCCCAGCGTGGCCCCTTTGGGCCAGAGGGTTGGGAAGGTCGGTCTCCAACGGACCCTGTGACCGCCTGGCAGGTGGAGCGCCTGGAGCACCCGCTGCTGCAGCAGCAGTACGAGCTGCACCGAGCGCGCCTGGAGCAGCGCTGTGAGCAGCGGCCGGTGGAGCACGTCCTGTACCACGGCACGTCCGTGCCCGCCGTCCCCGAGATCTGTGCCTACGGCTTCAACCGCAGCTTCTGCGGCCGCAACGGTGAGCCGGCGGGAAGCTGGGTGCCTGGGGGTGGGGAGTGGGGAGGGGGGCGTGGGCTCTGTGGCCCCGGGGCCCTGACCCAGCCCTGTGGCCCCGCAGGCACGCTGTACGGACAGGGCGTGTACTTCGCCAAGCGCGCCTCTCTCTCCGTGCAAGACCGCTACTCGCCGCCGGACGCCGAGGGCCACAAGGCCGTGTTTGTGGCGCGGGTGCTGACCGGGGACTACGGGCTGGGCCATCGCCAGCTGCGGGCGCCCCCTCTGCGCGCCCCGGGCCACGGGCTCCTGCGTTACGACAGCGCCGTGGACTGCCTCCGCCAGCCCAGCATCTTCGTCATCTTCCACGACACCCAGGCGCTGCCCACCCACCTCATCACGTGCGAGCACATACGCGGGGCCCCGCATCCGGACCCCTCTGGGCTCTCGGGCCCCTCCCCGGCCTCCTAGCCCCAGCGGCCCCCTCGGCTCTGTCTCTGGCCCCGTCTCCGGCCTCCTGTTCTCCGCAGGCCGCAGCCGCACACGGCCTGACAGACCTGCTGCCCGGGCCCCCTCCCCCCTCCCTGTGGAGGCGCGGGGACGGGGAGCAGCCGGGAGGGGGGCGGGTCCCCGCAGGGCGGGCCCGGCCGCCAGGGGTCAGCAGAGCCCAGGAGGAGGCTGACGCCGACACCCTCCGGAGGCCACACCTCGCTGCTGCGCGACTCTGTCATTTGAATAAACGTGGAGCCCGGCGGAGGGACCTGCTGGAGCAACTAGTCCGTCCGACCTCCTTGGACCGGCGGGAGGGACCCCGCGGTGAGGGGCGGCGGCGGCGGGGGTGCAGGGGGTGCGGCGAGGCAGGCCCGCTGCTTCCCTGGGGCGGTCCAGGGCGCGCACCCCACGTCGCCTTGGGGTCACGCACGCGCCCCCAGCAACGGCCCGGCCCGCCCCGTGCGCGCGGGGAGGTGGCCGCGCCTGGCGACGGGGGCTCCGCCCGGGCCGAGCCGCGCTGGTGCTCCAGCCGCGCCGCCGCCGTGGGCGCCGGGCCCCGCGCGCACGGGGCGCCCCACTGCACGGCGGGCGGCGTTCGGTCGGGAGCCTGGGCGGGGCTCCGGGCTCGCCCCGCCCGCGCCGCCTCCGAGACTCTCCGGGTCCAGCAGTCGGGCTGCGGCGGCCGAGCTCGCGGAGCGGAGCACCAGGCACGTACGACCGGGTCCGAGGCGGAGGCGCGCGGCTCCCGGGGGCCTGGGGCGGGGCGGGGGCTCCCCGGCCTCAGAGCCGGGAGCTGCGTCCCGGAACTGGGGGCGACGTGGCGGCCCATCCTCCTCGGGAGGACTCCACCTCTGCGCCCCGAGACTGCGGAACTGGTCGGGCGGGGCCGGGCGTGGACAGGAAAGATTGCCGGGCGGCTCCGCTGCCCCGGGCGCCGGGCGGGGGGCTGGAGCGCAGGCGGCCGGGGCAGGTGCCGGGAGAGGCGGGCGCAGTGGCCCCCCTGGCCGGTGCCCCTGACCCCCCCCACCTTAGCCCGAGGACGGAGGCACAGAGCCCACATTGTGCCCCACCCACCCCACCCCACCCCACCCCACCCCCGCGGGAACAGAGCCCCATTCACCGCGCACGCCAGCGCTCTGGGCGCGGGGAGCGGAGTGCACGCGTGGGTGTGCGTGCGCGGGCGGCGCCGGCGGTGCGGTGCGGGTGCGCCGGGTGGGTGGGCGCCCAGCGGCTCCCTCCCCGCCGCAGCCCGCAGCCCGCAGCCCGCAGCCCCGGCCCACGCGCTGCGGCGCCGGCTATTTATAGGAGTCACTGCGGAGCCTGCGGGGCGGGCGGCGGGGCCGGGAGCCCCGGAGGCTGAGGCCGCTGGGAGACGGCGTCCTTGTCCGGGGGATGGGGCCGGGGCCTGGGCGGGAGGGGCAGCGGTCAGTGCTTCCGGGTGGCCTGGTTTCCCCGTGGCCAGAGGCTTGAGCCGGGCCAGGTGGGGGGTGCGGGGCGCGGGGCGCGGGGCGGCGGTGTCAGTGATGTCGTGGAGGTGGGGCCCGCGTCCAAGGGGAGGTAGCCCCTCCCTGCCCCCGCCGTAGGTCAGGGTCCGTGTCCTCTGCTGTGGCGAGCCCGTGGGTGACAGCCCGGAGGGGTCCGCCATAGGGGTCACCGCCCTGCTGATGCCTGGGAGGGGTCTGCTGGTGTCGGGGGTGAGCCGGGGGTGGGGCCATGTGGGCGGAGCAGGTGGGTCAGTGGGTGCTGAGGTGGGACACGGGGGCGGGGGGGTCCGTGTCCAGGGGAGAGGGCGCCGGTCAGTGTGCAGTCCGCCGGCGTGACCCCTCCCGCTCCCTCTCCCGCAGGCCATGTCGGGGGAGGACCCTGAGGTGCGGCCGGCGGCCGAGGACGGCTCCTCCAGCGGCGGCAGCGGCTCCCCCAGCCCCGGGGACACGCTGCCCTGGAACCTGGGCAAGACGCAGCGCAGCCGGCGCAGCGGGGGCGGCTCGGCGGGCAACGGCAGCGTCCTGGACCCGGCGGAGCGCGCCGTCATCCGCATCGCAGGTACCGCCGGCCTGTCCTTGGTTTCTGGGCGCCGGCCTGTCCTCCGGTTCTGGGCGCCGGCCTGTCCTCCGGTGTATGGGTGCTGTCCTCCGGTGTCAGGGTGCCGGCCTGTCCTCCGGAGTCTGGGTGCCGGCCTGTCCTCCGGTTTCTGGGTGCCGGCCTGTCCTCCGGTGTCAGGGTGCCGGCCTGTCCTCCGGTTTCTGGGTGCTGGCTGACCGTCCTGGCGGCCGCCCAGAGCCGCGCCGGGCGCAGGTGTGGGGGCTGGAGGGACAGGTGAGCGGTCTGAGGTCGGAGAGGCCCGGTTTCCCCGCGATTGCAGGCGGCACGGCGCCACCTCCTGGCCGCACCTGGTCTCTGCACCAGGCAGAGCTGAACTCCCTCGGCGGTGCCATCACAGGCCTCCTGACCCAGCCCGATGCCCCATGCCCTGAGGGTGCATCCTGGGGCTCCTGGGGCCCAGCTGCCTTCCAGGCCCCCCTGAGGGGCGGGGGCGGTCCGTCCTCAGGGCAGGGCCTGGCCTGGCTCTCCAGGCGTGAGAGGGGAAAGCCAGGTGGAGAGGCCTCGGGCAGAGGAGGGCCGGCTGCTGGACCGGGCCTCTCCCGCCGTGGGGAAGTGGTGGCCTCTTTCTGGACGCCCCCCAGGATGTGCTGGGCACCGAGGAGCCGGGGAGGGTCGCTCTGCCAGGCTGTGGAGTCTGTCCGCACCCACCATTCGGACCCAGACGAGGAGGAGGCATTTGGAGGGCAGGGCTGGCTCTGAGGGGACTGAGAGGGTGGCCCGAGGCGGGTGGGGGCGAGGCTGGGTGGCCAGCTGCTGAGCAGGGATGGTGTGGGCAGCAAGGGACTCTGGGGTGGAAGCAGAGAGGACCAGGAGGGGGAGGGGGCTGACCACCCCCTACCCCCCCAGGGGCAGGTGTGAAGGGGACCCATGACTGACAGGTGGTTTTCAGGCGTCACATATGGAGTTTAAAAGTCCTGGCCCAGGCTGGTGAGCTCAGTGGATAGAGCGTCAGCCTGCGGACTGAAGGGTCCCAGGTTCGATTCCGGCCAACGATACATGTCTGGGTTTCTGGCTTGATCTCCAGTAGGGGGCGTGCAAGAGGCAACCAATCAATGATTCTCTCTCATCATTGATGTTTCTATCCCTCTCTCCCTCTCCCTTTTTCTGGTGAGCTCAGTGGATAGAGCACCAGCCTACTGACTGAAGGGTCCCAGCTTTGATTCCGGTAAAGGGCATGTACCTTGGTTGCGGGCACATCCCCAGAGGATCGATGTTTCTCTCTCATTGATGTTTCTGACTCTCTATCCCTCTCCCTTCTCTCTGTAAAAAAATCAATAAAATATATATTTTTAAAAAGTGATCCTTGCCCTGGCTGGTGAGCTCAATGGTTAGAGACCTCCACAGGGGTCACAGGTTGGGTTCCCAGTCGAGGGTTGAAGGATCCATCCTGGCCCCGGAGGCAACCAACCCAAGTTTCTCTCTTTCCCCCTCTCCCTCTCTTCCCCCCCTCCTTTCCATTCTTGAAAAAAAAAAGAAATCAGTGGAAAAATATCCTCGGGGTGAGGATTAACAACAACAAAAAACAGAGGCCCTTTTTCCCCCAAATGAAGGCCAATCAGGAATGTCCTTCCCTGGCCTCGCATTCCTCTCCGTGGTCCCTGCCCCAGCAGTGGGCTCTGGCCTGGAGGGGCCAGGGCGGAGCTGCAGGCATGGCCCTGGATGTTCTCAGCATTGATTCCCAGAGGGAGCTTGGGGTCTCTGTGTGGGGCGTCTGAGGAATATGCCCGGGGCATCTCAGAAAGCCAGGCGCCTGCCAGTGTGGTGGAAAAGAATGTCTCTTATTGGTACCAAGCCTTTTCTTCTAAAAATTCCCTATTTCAGTCCTTTTATATTGCATAAAGTTTATTTTTATTGTAATTGTCTTAATTTTTTTTTTGGGGGGGGGATGGGAAGATATATTTTTGTTTGTTTTTTCCTCTTTTAAAATTAAACTTATTGAGGCGACGTTGGTTAATTGGATCATATAGGTTTCAGTGTGGGTTTCTGTCACACGATCTGTACTTAATTTTTTTAATCCTTTTTTGTACTTAATTAAAAAAAATACTAGGTTACCAGTTAATCATGCATTTTTTTCAATAGATGGAGTTACACATATGTTGATATTCATGCAATGTGATGTGTATGCTATTTTGTTGTGTTGCTCCTTCAGATGACCACTTGTTCCGATCGATGGCACACGCACTTTCTGAGCAGCACTTAAGGACTATGAAGAAGTGGAAAACGGGGTCTCTGAATGGTCTGCCTCAGAACAAGGAAAGTTCTCTCGGGGCGGTATCCACCAGTTACCTGACAGATGGGGAAACGTGTAGCTAGCTTACGTCTTGAAGTGCTGCTCAGACAGTGTGTGTGCCACGATCGGAACACGTGGTCATCTGAAGGAGCAAGGTCTGGTGAACACGGCGGGTGGGTTAACACTTCCCAGGCAAGATCTTTTAACGTGTCTTTAGCTGGCTTTGAAGTGTGTGATGGTGCGTCATCATGAAGCAAAATTACTTTGCCGTATCTTCTGGCCCATTCTGGTTGTTTCAAGATCAAAGCGTGATTCAAATTGATTATTTGTTGTCAGTAGCGATCAGTATTAGCAGTTTCACCCAGTTTTAGAAGCTCATAATATACCACACCTTCCTGATCCCACCAAACGCAGAGCATTGTCTTCTGTCTGAAGCGTTTTGGCCTTGCAGTCGATGTTGATGGTTGACCTGGACCAACCCCTGATTTTGTGCGTTTGGGATTCTCCAAATAAATCCACCTTTCATAGCCAGTCACAATTCGATGCAAAAAAAAACTTTCTTTTGTGCAGTTGAAGTAACATTTTACTGATGACTTTTCTGTTTTCCATTTGTCTTTCGTTCAGTTGATGTGGCTCCCATGTTCCTTCCTTTAAAGTCTTTCCCATTGCTTGTAAATGATCGGAAATTGTTTGCTGAGCAACTTGTAATCTTTCTGCAAGTTGTTTTTGAGTTTGACACGCATTTTCATCCAATAATGCTTGTCACTGTTGGTCTTCAAACTTTTTCGGTTGACCTGGACGTTCTGTCTTTCACATTGAAACCATCACTTTTATAGCGTTTAAACCAGCGTTCACAAGGATCTTAAGATGGAGCATGTTCACCATAAGCTTCCCGAAGTATGGATAACTTTTTCTTCAAAATAATGAA